GGGGCCTGGCGACAAGGATTGAACTGGCAAGGGAGTGCACGGTGAGTGGAGTATAAATAGGGAGGAGATAGACAAGGCACAGCTGGGGATAATCAGGAAAGCGGGGCAGGTGAAACGGATAGAGCAATCAGAGTGAGGACGCAAACTAGCGTGAGGAAAGGAGGAGAGGAAGGTGCAGCCGGGCAAACCTGACAGTTAGGGGCTAGCTTTGACTTGAAATTAGGGTTGTACACATCAACAGGCGCTTGATTGATCTGACGTAATGGATGTGGGAATGATTGCAAGTCAAGTCAAAGTCAAAGTGTTTATTTGTCATATGCACAGTTAGGAAACGTGTTTCCCTGTATACTTTGCCGTCCACATGAATGCCACAAAATACAAAGGAAATATAAAGTAGATACTGTAAATAAGTAACACAAAATCTAAGGTACTGTTATGGTTGAGTCCCCCTTACCAGGAGGGTGAGGGAGAACTGAGGCAGGACTCAAGTATGCTGACCCAGGTGCTAGGGGGAAAAAATGATGATTTACTGGTAAAAGAACACAAAATAACAAAAGAACATAACAAAGTCCAACTTTACTTATACAGTCTGGGATGGGTGGAGATGGCTGAAGAAAAAAACGGGACAAACAGGTGAGTCCAGGGACTGACGGAAAAAACCAAGAGGGCAGGAAGATGAAGACGGACAGGTGAAAAAACAAAAAGACCAACGTACTAACTGTAGTCCGCAGCACAGGAACTGTCAGCGTGGAAAACAAAGATGTTTAGCCAAAAACACAGATACGAAAAAGACCAACGTACAACTGTAGTCCACAGCACAGGAACTGTCAGCGTGGAAAACAAAGGACGTCTTGCTATATACCACCAATATGTGTAGATACGGGGTATGCCTGTTACTGATCGTAACTTTTCACATGTAGTGTACATCACGTACTTTTAGTAATGCTCTGGCAACGGTGGAGTGTCTGCCAGAGGTATACTGTAAATATGGAGGGCCTCAATCTGCGGGATGCACCCCAGCTGTGTGCACCGACAAACAAATCGCTAATTGCGACTGCAACACAGCTGAGGTGCGAATCCCACAGGTTGAGAAAACAGAGGAGAGAAAGGCGGAAAAGAGGCAGGTCGCGCCGAGCGGACCTGACAGGTACTTTAAGCAGCAAATGCAGCAATATATAAGAATATAATAAGAGAATGTGTGCTGCATAGGAGCAGCATGTGCAGCAGTCAACAGTCAATGTGCAACTAGAGAAATGCATTTTACTTTTGAAATATTTAGCTTTATTTTGAAAATTCTGCCCCATTTGTCAAGTAATGAAGTACCCTCCGTCTTTTACATTACTTGGTTCTTTATTAACAACACAACACACCAACAGTAACGAAGCTCTCCTCCCCCTCGCTGACGTCTACTCCCCAAAGATCCTCAATGATACATGACATCCCGCTCTATTGCATACTTCCTTGACACCTCCCCCTTTTCACTCTAACTTAACTGTAACACAGAACAACCCCCTTCCGGCAGTTCCTTCATTTCGCAAACCCTTTGTTTTTCTAATAAGAACCAAAAGTGGTACATCGTGTCTGAACAGCATGCAGAAACACTTAAGTAACTACCAGATGCACTTAAACCGTCCCTTCTACAGATTCAACCTTTTTACCGGTTTGCACACTCTCCCAGCCCTTGTAACAGTCTGAGTTTGTGGCTGCGTCTGTTGTCGATCAGGCATGTTCGGTGCATGTTCACATTTCTCCTCTAACCCTGGCTGAGTCTCCGGGTCTGCAGATTGACCTGCCACAAACTCTCGTGGCAGAATCTGCAAATGTCTGTGGTTCCTCTGCTTCTGTCCCCCTCCCGAGGGAGACTGGATCACATAGGCGCGGGGGGTGGCACTTTCCTGCACCACAGCTGGCTCAGACCATCGCTTTTCCGAGTCGATTTTCACCAAAACGTTGTCACCTGGCCGCAGAGTGGATAGCTCTCGTGCTCCGTGACGTCGGTTAAAGTAGAAGGCTTGACTCTCTTTGTCGGCCTCATTCCTGAGCCGCACAATAGACAGGTCCGGCCACTGTGGGACCAGGTTAGACTCAAGAGTGGGTAACGTTGTT